CCTCTCTAATGTTTATTTCAAGAAATATATAGATTTATCTAATAATAGTTTCTGTTCTAGTGTGGTAAAATCTTTGTTCATGATCATATAATTGTAAAAGTTTCTGGAAGAAATATACGAGTTCCGTCTGAAACATTGTTGAACATTTTATTGAACTCTTGGCACAAGGAGATTTTTGGGTTTTGTTTGTATATCTACTATTTGATTGAGAACTTTTCGGACACTTTCTTTAAGTAGATTCACTAAGCGGTAGCTTCATTTTAGTCTACTTCTGCAGTAGACTTTGTATTTGGTTTTAATGATAGTCGGATCAGCAGTGACATTTACATAAAAGCCTAACGATACCTCAAGTATTTGGAGTTTGACAATATCTTAACCAGTAACACCTTCTATAGTCGAAACGTGCCAATCCAGTGACATCAGAAGTAGGAAGCGAAGAGGTTCGAAAGTATATTTGATAGGCTATTAATATATCGAAAATCGACTGATCTAAGCTGACTAGTGGCTGTAGAAGTTGAGCACAGTGTGCCCACTCGTGATCTAGTGCGGATACGTGACCGAGTGCCTTCAGCTAGATGAGTCCATTAAAACTAATGTGGTCAGCATCAAATGTCGAAGACTTACAGAGCTATTGATTTTAGGGATTTATTAACCGCTACAAAGGTATTAGTCAGGTCCGTTTGTATTTGGTGTTGGATTGAGTTGACAGGATATTCCTTTCAGGGATGTTAGTTAATCCTTAATAACTAATTATTTGGTGTGGTCGGTCTGTTATGCCGAATATTCTATAAATGAATTTTATCTCCATCAAGCAATTCAACCAAACAATAGACTAAATTCTATAATTCATTGGTAATGATCTGTTTCAATTACCAACTTACCTTTCTTCATAAATATAATATTTCTACATCAATGTATCCACAGATTCAGCTGGTTAAATTCGTTTACTCTGCCTTTGGTTTCCTCTTTTTTGTACTACTTATACTACTTACTAATATTCAGTAACTAGTTTCATTACTAGTAGCCTTTGAGAATGGTGTGTGACACATATTTATCGTTGTGTAACGTTCTTAAGTATTTACACAGAATAGTAATATTCATTTTATTTATTATTATGATCTCATTTGCTCAACAGTTACCTTGAGTCTTCGCTTAAACACAGTAACCCCCATATTGTGCACTCCCAGTCTCGTTTGGATAGCCATTGTTAACTTTACCCAGAGGTCCTGGATGACATTGTATGTTGTAATTGATATTTTTTTTATTATAGCAGGAAAAATGTCCCCTTCCGTATGAATATATACCTCAATCTCAGATATTCAGCTGACAAATGACAAAATAAAAATCAAATGTTTAAGAAATTACTCTGGTAAATGTGGCACGTAACAGTCATGAATCTAGTTGGATTGGGGTACTTATTAGCAAACAGCAAGTTGTCAAAAATCCTTCCATGTAATATGGAATTCTGCAGTAGTTTTATTTGTACATAGTTTATGTCATAGGTCCATAGGTGAACGTTGTTAGAGGATTCCAATGCTGATATGACAAATATTTGTAGCGTTTTCTAATTTTCAAGTAGTATTTCAAGTGATGTTGAGCAGTACAGTTTGTTGATCATTGGGTAGTGATCAGTGTCAAGTTTGTCTATTCCCTTAATGATGATCGAATTCTATCGACTAAGTTGTAGTGTGGACACTGTCATAAGTGGCGCGAAATTACCTTGCATTATGTTGACATGCCATTAGGTTTTAGGTAGTTGGTAGATAGCCCTGTTTAACCCATATTTAAAATGGGGAAGATTGGTTCAATGAAGAGTCCTCTTTTCAGCAAAATCATTTCCAAAGCTGTACAGCTGCAAATATATATATATATATATTTTTTCCAGGTTTATAATAATTACAATAACAGTAATAATGAAATTCTCTTAAACATAGTGACAGTGAAGTAGAATAAACAAAGTTATTAAAACGCTATTTTTGTCAGGGAAACCCATAATTGTTTTATTGTTAAGGGTTTGAATATTCATCATGAAGATAGATAGGGAAATTATAATTGGAAAAGGAAGGCTCAGCATAATAAGATAAAATGTTGAAATTGAGATGAAATGTAATCTTCAATAAAGGAGATTCTTGTTAGTAAAGGTTTTCAAGGGACAATATTCAAAGAAACTAACAATTGTCTATAAGCAACTAAAACGAACAAAGTAAATACCACAAATTGAATGAAGTATATCCTCAATTAGATCACGATGGACGAAATTAAAGATGATTATACTTACTATCATTCATAAAATCAAATGTAGCCTTTGAGTTCAAAAGTGGTACATCCAATTATGATAATTAGAAGTATTTGAATTATAGTACAAACTAGGAATCCCAGAAATAATGCGATTGGGTCAAGAAGTACTAAATAAGCACTAACGAATGTACTGTATTTGGAATTTGAAATCACGCATTCAGAAAATACAAAGGAATCATTAGTTCATACAAACATCACACCAATGCTTTAGTTTACCGTAGTCCTAATATCTCCTTGTTAATTTACAAGCTATCCTTCGACATGTGTTGGTTCATATATTTTATCTTCCTCATCATCGTCAAGTGAAGAGTCATCTTCCCTAACTCTGTTACTTACGTTTACTTCGTTCTTATTATCTCTTAGGTAGTACGTAACTTAGATTAAATTTTAGTACCACTATTAATGACACAACGATATGACTATAAATACAATCATACAATCCCAGTGATTTCATCGAAAAGAAAATTTTCTTCTCTGGAACATCACTGCTTTTTATGATGAAGTTTCGTCAATTTATTATTTTTAAAACAAGCAAAAAAATAAAGGGCTTCAGAATAGTGGCAATAGCTTGTGAAGATTAAGTTGCATACAAACTGGAAGAAAAAATTATGATACCCAAAAATGGAAGTTGTAAACAACAATATCTATAAACAGAAACTTCATTCCATTAATAAGCGACCGTAGAATATTCAACATTCTTCATTTTATACTAATGATAAACAAGGGTCTTAGTTAAACACCTTTATATATGATTTTACATTTTTAAAATGCATTCTTTTCTTTAAAGTTGTCTCTCATTATTATTACACCTAGTTAGATATAAAATAATCCGATAATGTTTTAGATTGTTATTAGTAGTCGAATATACCTGGATGGAGATTATGGAGTACTGTTAAGTGCTGGGTATAAAACTATTCTAGTCTAATAAAATAGCAAAGCCTAAGACGATAATTAGTAAAAAGACAGACAACTCTGGGTAGTCTCGTCATAAATTCATTACTTATTGAGCTTCGCATATTGGAGGATCCGGTACCAGAGGAGATATAACTTATTTTGAAATGAGGCTTTAGTTGGGAAATCAGTTGGACCACAGTCCTTCACAACACTAATCTAATCAATCATGATGTCAAACTGCTATTATTCATGTATTTCAAAGATGAAGATCGTGGGAAATTTTAAGTGCTTACATCCGACTACAGTGACATATCTCAATTAATAGCCTAAATTATAGAATTTCAGGGCTATTCGTACTAGATGGGTAGAAACTATCCATCGGAGTGAAATGCTTTCACTCGACACGATCTACCTTCACGGACAACTCAGACAAAAAGTCAAACATCCATCCTTAAGATGATGAGTGAGAACCAGGTATAACAGTCATCTCGGTCCGTTAGCGAGTAAATAAGCTAAAAGCTGATATTTTCAAGTCATTTCTTGTTAGAAATTATTCTATTTTTCTGTCAATAATTTAAATACTATAGTATTATTTGTCTAGATAAGAAACCTATTATCCTGGAAAGCAGTTTTATTTCATATCAATTCATTCAGGGAGTCAAGTCAATAATCCAGTCTCGTGGGAAGCCATTACTCAGCTACCTTTTATTTATCAATGAACATTTCATTCAGTCATCTGAAGGATAAAAAACGCTTTCCTTCTTCAAATTTTTTCCCATACCAAAACTCCCATAATTACCCCATAAAACCAATGTTTTTTCAAATTTAAACCCTCGACATCAAGGAAATAATAATTACCCATACAAACCCTAAACTTGAAATCACGCCTGACCATTTCGTAGCTTTCTGACAAATGAGTGACTGACATTTACCTAATAGTCTTGCGATTCTTAGTGATCAACTGTGCCAAGACCTGACCCCGAATTATTAAAACGGATATTCCTAGCTACATTTTCTTGTTTAATAGTTTCACCTGCGTAGTCCAACTAACCAGACAGGCAACAAAGTAGATATCTATGCGTTTATTAATTAAAAAGAAAGCAGAGTAAGAAGTTAACTGGGACCCACCATATTTGGTTAAAATAAATTAGTCATTACAACTGATGAACAAAGAGAACCGTATTTTTAGGCAAAATATTTAAGTGGCGTGAATAATGTGCGTAGGAAAAGTAACCAGGTTTTAAATAACGTACATTCTGACAAATGTACATCAGACTAAGTTGTAGCATTTTACATTAGTACACCAAGAGAAATTTGACAAGGTGAATTTTTAGTGGTGGTTTATGAGTTAAAGCACTCATCTGTCAACTCATAAGATGTAGGTATTTGTCGCTCTATAAAGCTGACAGACCTCGCTGAATAAGTAAAGTGACTTATTTGCTCAACAACTTTAGTCCCTATTCTTTAACTAGATGATGTAGATCAGTTTTAAGCCATTTTATATTTGGCGGATGTCAGTTACATGCCAAATCTTTTCAGGTTTTCATTTGAGTTTGGGGGACCCTACATTTGTTTGAAGCTTCTACCTAGTAATACTATGATGTATGTACGCTTTAGGTTCACCATGTACAATGTGAGCAAACAACTGGTCTCGGAAAATTGTGGGCTAAACGGAATTATTCCTAGAGACATAAGTAGAGAGAAATAATATAACATTGGGCTGCATCCCCATGTATGAATAAATTAACAGCATATCTTAGAAATCAAAACGAAAAAGATTCTTGAGTATGTACATTCTTGATGATTTATTATTCTTTTACAATTTTTAGTGAACGGGGTTCACAAGATGACACTTTCTCAATAGCTTGTTTTTCCACCGATTTTTTTAACAATTTTTCCATATGCTTCTTCATTTCATGAGCTTCTTTTAGTCTTTCTTTTTTTGGTTTTATAACACGAGTCCCTTTGCGCATTGGTTTGGCGGATTGTTTTTGTAAAGACCTTTCACTTTTACCGGATTTCACTCCTTTGGGTAATTTGGTTTTAACTTTAAGTTTTCCTTGAGCCATACTGAGTATATATATATGTATCTGAAAGACCAATACTGCTCAAGATATATTAGTTTTCAGACAATTAGACGGATGATCTGAAAAAGTAACGAAAGGATAATAAATCTGGAACATTTAAATATAAGAGTACCTGATCAAATGTATGCTAGTTTGAGGGATTGATCACTTCTGAATTAAAGGAACAATTACACCATTTGATTACTGGTGCTTAAAAGTAACGATTTAACTTCTATTTGGAATTTGGCAAAATTAATTACAAAGTACAGCTTAAAGTATTGATACATAGAGCTGGTACTATATGTTGCTGTACTGTTAGACTTAACGTACATTATTGACATTAAACCCAGTATAAAATCAGACGGGTAAAAAAATGGTATGCTTATATAATTTTTTAAATATAAGCTAACATGGTACTATTCAAATAATTAATTATGATTTTTTAAATGGATTTATTCGTTTATTCATACATCCATTAAACCAGGCCGACAATAAGAGAAACGAAGCGGATCAGAGATAACAGACGTGCTAAGTCAATTTCGTCAGACATAGCTCAACGTTTATATTCATACAAAAAAAAAAAAACAAGCCGACGTGACGAAGAGTGAGTGATCAACACAAACACACACGCCCATACATAAAGACAATGAGGGTTATAGGAGAATAACTAGCAATGTCAAATGTATGTGTGGACAATCACTCAGAAGGAATAGATTAATGGGTCTCTCCAAAATCCAGAATAATCCACGTAGGCGTGAGATAGTACTAAATGATACGAGCTAAGCAAACTTCTGTACGTGGTTTGCAAAACTGGAGAGTCTTATATTTGACACTAAGAGGTGCAGATGATTAATCTTGTGATTAGGCACATAATCATTGTACAAAAAGGCACTAAATAGATATGCGCCATACTTCATTCTATTTGTGTGGGGCCTAGAATACTGCCCGAGAGCCCAAACCGAAGAACGTGGTTCTCTAAGCAACTCCTCAAGCTTTTGACTTAGAGGTCTAGTCCACAAGGCGGTGGAGCAACGTAAGGAGATGCAGTCCCATGGTAGCCGGTGACCAACAATAAGTTCATACGCCATTTGTTCCCTCAGGATCCAGGAACCCATGTGCATCATTCGTTTGGAATCAAAGTTTTCAGCCTCCATAGGTGAGCCAACCAAATTAAGGCGCCGGAAATTTACTTCTTGTCTTCTCAATTTCGTAAACAACACCCCTGCCGCGAGAGGGTTGTGAGTAGGACTTCTCTAGCAGTGGGTGTATACGCGCGGCCATATGAGAGCATTTCGAAGGAGATTGAACTCTCCCCACCCTTGGCCATACCAGGGTATATTACACCATACACATTTGTGGACTTCAGTGTTATTATTTTATAACAACTCCAGAGCTAATATACGGGTCACCACGTTAACATTCCCTTGAATTTCGAAAGTATTCACCAACATTTAATTTCAAATGTTATGCACTAGGGGCGGAGTATGTATTACAATAGTTTATCATGTAATTGTCTGTATTATGATGCATACTGGTCAATGAGTTAGTAAAAAAACACTGTGTACAATTGACTTTCCCCCTATGAAGCCAAAAGTTGAAAATCATCGTTGATTGTAGTACGGCAATTGCAAACGTTTTTAGGACTATTAGACTTATGGGTACTAATTCCATTTGCCTAGATGTCAAACCGATTATGACGTTATATATTCTTTCCTTGTAATGAATACAGGGCGAAACCGACAGGGAGTAGAAAATATTTAAAAGGACGTGGTAAAAGCAGACCACAAGAACTGTTAAACCTTTTATACAACGCTAGATTAATCAAGATATTCAATGTTTTAGACATGGGAATGGACTTGACGTGGCTTTTTATAGCTAGTGAAGGTAAAATGTATGGTTGTCAGATTGTGGCAATAAGCATAGTTACAAATACTAGCTGCTAGTCCTAATTTCGAAATTACATATGTACATTACATGTGTAATACAAAGTCTTCTACCATCCCAGTAAAATGTCGTCTTTACTTTTCACTTCATGTTTCTTTGTGAACCCCAAAAGTTGACTTGCAAGATTCCAACTACTTAATATACTAAAAAAAAACGGTTTGAATTAATTCAAACCAAGGTTAAAGGGAGTTTTGGGAAAATATTGGGGAATTTCCCCAGGTCTGGGGAAATTCTGGGGTTTTGCTGTCACTTCCCCAAAGTTTACTATGGCGGCTTCCGGAAAATGCGTCAAATTTTCCCTAAAATTGGGAGCTCGGGATAAAGGTGGGAATTGTTAAACATTTTACCCCAACGCATACGATTATCATAAATTCACAATAGTTCTCATGCCTTAAAAACTAGCGCGACATTTCGGAGGAGTTTTGCTTAAGATCACACCAGATTTCTTCGTAAACTAGTTTACGACAGCTGTCGTCTCAATTTCATCTACACAGGGGAATCAATTTATATAAATAAGGTGAACTATTAAGGATTGAAAAAGCTTGCACGCAAACTTAATAAGTCCCACTGTTACTAAGAGCTGAAAAGTATGATCAAAAGACTCAAGTAACGGAAGAACATCAAGAAATCAAGAGAGGACTAAACCTAGTATTTACAGTGACGCAACAATAGTAACTCGCGGTCTATATGTCCAACACTTCCAAACTGTTCGATGCACATGTGGTCAAGTCTTTGTTCTTTAAGATCAACACCTAAGTAGTAAGTAAGTGTTCTTGGCTACATGAAAGGGTGTTATTTGTTATCTACCTTCTGAATCTGAGAAGGTAGGACTTTGGTGAATAGTCATCGAAGATATTCAGGAGTAAGTCCTGGTTTTATCTCCTTCAGCCCAGAACATACATCATAAGATTCTACGGAAGATGCCGTTACTAAGACTTTCGGTAAAGAGCTCCACAATTTACTCATTTTTGATATGAAAACGGCTGCGTAAGTGTTTATGCCAGCTCCGTGTTCTATCACGCACGGATGTCCTCTTGAATATATTTTTGTTCGAAATGTGTGAGTGGTGAATTAAGGTAAATGGAATTATGGAGGACATGACAATTTCTTCTCAAATCCTCTGGCACTACACGGGTCATAAGTTCAGAGCGATGTCTAGACCTGGATCTTTGTCTGGTTGTTGGTCTGGTGGGGTGCGATTTAATCGTTGCAATGGAAGCTTGTAGTGACTGTAGTTGACTTTTCAGGTGTGCTAGTTGTCTTTCGAAAGAGACTAAACAACTGGTATCTAGTGTTTTCTGTGATTGCGCTTCATTTACTTGGTGTCTGTCATGATAAACTTCCATCATTTTATCTGCCATATCCGCCAGGTCGTCTAGAGTGACGGAGTTCCCGGATACACTAAGGATTTGTCTAACATCATGTGACAACCGTCGAAGCCACATTTTTTCAGGAAGAATTCGTCTAGTTTGTACGGGCCCGCTAGTTGTTTCATATATGCGATAATAACTGTGATGGCTTCCTGTCACCTAATTCGCATGCTGTTAGGAGTTGCTGAAGCCTTTTTTCATCAGATACTGTTGTGCGTTGTATTACAGCGGCCTTAATTTTTTCGTAAGGGTCGGTTTCTGGTACTTGGTCGATCAAACCTCCGACTTCAGCCGCGATTTCTATGGGAAGTGCTCCGACTACATAGACATATTTAGTCGCCTGGGAGCGTATGCCTCTCGCTAGAAATAAGGCTTCTGCTTGTGCGAACCAGATTCTGGGGTTGTTGGCACCGTATGCCGGTAGTCTGAACTCGGAAATGGCATTGACCGAACTTAAGGTATTATCGTCTGCATGTGATGAGTTGAGGGCATTCATTGAGGAATATTCAATATCGATAAGTTTATTTGGGGAGTACATGATGTGAAAAAACTACTGTTTTAAGTAAAAATATAAATGATATAACTATTATAATGCACTCGAGGCTCACCAGATTTGTAGTGGACCCCAGCTAAAAGAGTTTATACAAGATATATCTATACACTAAGTTAATAATAATATACCAAAAAAGTTAACAGAAAAACCTTAAGTGTCTGTGTACGAGTAAAAACCAAGGTTAACAGTTTACAGTTATAATACAAATGGTATATTGAGCAATATGATAATAACAACTATTAAGGGATGAATGTTACTTGTAGGCTGCTCTCTGGGGTGACAACCACAAATAAGTCTATTTGATTTAACGTAGGTTCTCTTGCGAATGATGGCACCGACGGCGTGACAAGAAAGACAGAGTCCAATAGTATTATGTAATAGTAATCCGGGCCAAAATACCAACGTAGTGTAAGAAGGCCTAAAAGGATATTATAACACTATTATAGTATTCGGTCAAAGGCCGTGGCCAATAAAGCAGAAAGACAGACGACGTAGATAACGTGCTATGTTTCAATAAGCGAAGTAATAAAAAGTATATTCCATTTATCAAAACAAATATCATCGTCTTTTCATAAGTGATACAGAAAAACAACAGATATTGAATGAAAATGTGGTTACAAAAATCACGGAATATACGTCACCATATAACTCCCCCCTAGGGCATGCATCGGTGGAAGTATGCCCGACGTAAACTCTAGGTGTTTGAGCGGGAAAAGAAAATTACACATGAGAAGAATAAACAAATGTTATCAAAAAAATCATATGTGTATACATATTTACGAACAAAATTGTTTTTTTTGTAGTAAAGAGAAAAAATCATTTCTTATTTCAATGTATATAAAAGGTTTAACAATAATAAGGGAATGTATAATAATTATAATAACAATAGTGTTAATAATAATAACATTAATTGAATTGGTAGTTTACCGAAAAAAAAATAGATAGATACTTGTATATATTGTGTGCACAATTAATGATAAACTGAATGAGTATAGTGACGTTGAATATCGTTACACAAATAATAATTATGAACATCATATGAAACGCATGCACATATAGAGAAAAATGTGATAAATTTATCAATTTTAGTTGTACATACGAAATGTTTTTTAAAAAAATTGTTTGCAAAAAAAATGTTATTATTAACTTTGCTAATATAGATGTTCGTTCACATTACTAAAGTGACAGAATGAAGATTAAGTAATGAATTTAACATAACGTTTAGGAAAATGTACATGTCTTCCTGAACGGGTTGTTTTAGGAGTAGGCAAAATGGCGAAACTAGGAGCTACCTTGGTGGGAGGTGTAACCTTAGAGTCGTCCATTCTACGAAGTGTCGATGTCACCGAAGTAGGTAAGGAATTATCTGGAAGCCCAGAAAACTGTGTTGTACAGCTTCTGCTGTCTTTAGATGGTTTTTGACTGCAATGCGTTTCGTACTCTACAAAAGCAGGTTTTATCCTGTCAATTGAAACTGTCTCTTTTTTTCCGTTCTTTTTTATTGTAAAATATTTTGTCTGCCTCTCAATTACTTCATATGGTCCTTCATACGGGTGTTGTAAAGGACGTCTTACCGAATCAGCACTAGCAAGTACAAATATACACGTATCTAGGTGCTTGCTAACTTGCTCTTTTAAGACAGCAGGTCGAGGTGCGAAACGATTACATTATTCCCTGAACTGGATTTCTAGAATAAATAACATATAGGTACTTTCAAAAGCAAGTGGTGCTGAAGTTTTAAGAAGTTTCGGAAACTGAATTAATCATAATGAAGTTCTAAACTAATGAACAGATCGTTAGGTGTAAAGTAAAATCAAAATATTCGTGACTAAGGCTAATAATTCAACAGTTGCTGTGTCTTAATATTGTGTTGAGTAAAATGGTAGAGGTTTAGTTCAAAACATTTGACTGAATATTCTCTGTTTTTATCGTTTTATAAGTCATGTATCAGTCGCTCACAATGTTTAGGCATGCAATATCAATTCTTAGTCGTAATTATTGTGAAAAGTGAAGTCACGAAATTTGGTCCGAACGCAGAGCTAACAAATCAAAGTTAGTTTGATCGGGCCGAACCGCGTCTTTCTGCACAGCTTACGAAGCGTTTGAGTCACTCGTTTTGAATGATATCGAAACAGGCTTTGTTCACAGCTCGAGCAGTTCTGCTTTGGTAAAGAAAAGAATTTTTGTCAAAAGTACAAACTACTTCAAACGATGCAGTCTGTGCCACACAGTTAAATGTTTCTCTAGCACAAGATCACGTGCTATGACTTCACAAACATCTATTCTAGCGTCATATCTTACTGCAATAGTAAGTTGTTTTCTCTTAATTATTTTCTATTTTATTTTTTTACTAATTTGACGATGCACACATAGTCGTTTATTCTTGTTCAGTGTTCATAAACACGCCTATTAAACTATTTGAGTATTTCACGTCTCCTTTATTTCTATTCCCCTACTTTCTTCCTTTCCTCCTTCAGCTCAATTCAATATTCTCCTCAATTACACAGAACCATGTTTATTATTATTGCTCTATTAGTATTACTCTCTTTTTTTAAAAATGACAAATATAATGCTAACATTATTGAAACTTGTGTATGATTACAGTTTCGAAGAAACCTGAAATGGTTCATTTATTGACAAATAATTGTTTGGTGCCTGAAAATCAATAAGAGTATTCCTAAGAATACAGTTGAAAATTTATATCTGTAAGGATTTAAGTAACCGTTTCTAGGTCGACAATCAGTAGCTGAGCCACATCGTGACTTTGAGTTTAGTCAGAAAGTACCTTATTTTCAAAGACTCAACGAAGTGCAACATTAAAATCAAGCAACAAATGCAAATCTTTAAATAAAGTCAAACAAGTGAAGCCAAGACCATGAAGATTGAAAGACATTAAACGTGGTTAAAGGAGGCCTGAGTAAAAGTTCAAATGTGAGACAGAGAAAAAGAACAAACAAATGCCATAACTCTTCAACAAAGCACTTTGGAGAGATTTTCAGGGCATGCTTTCTCTCGCAATAAATGTGTGGCAGAACAAATTTGTTTCAGTGTTGTTACGCTTTGCTTATAGTATATTAAACAATAATTACACATTCCGTGGAAATATTTTCTCGATTGTCTTGTAATGACCTACTTTTATCAAGAGAACGCGATTGGTGTAATGGAAACAATTATTATTACAACCAATTGTACCAGGGATTGTTTTACTGTACTTATTTTTTTGACTGTACCAAAGACATAAGTTCTTCCGTTGACTGTGACCTGGCACGAATTCGGTTGCGTTCAGTGACCACGCTTGTAACCTGGCACTATCTTGGTATTCTGTCGATACCACGAGATCGCCAACAAATACATCTGGACTACTGCCATCAACTGCCTTCGGATATTTGGCCTACGGGGGATCTTATAGGTTAACTAGCGCGTAGTCTTCTTGTAGTGGTGATCATAGTCAACTTCAACTCGACGCCACACTACCGTCTCTTCACAGAGCTTGTAACCGCAGAGAGACTAGACGCTAGCTCAAACTACATGAGAGTATGCAACCAAGTCAAAAGTTCTCCCTCTCCTTAAGAGACATATATCGCTTGAACCAAACACAGAGATGTGCAGCCGAATATAAGATAGGGCTAAAGCAGAAATCTTATGAGGATAGGCTCCAACACCTGGGATTATCCACTCTGAGCAACAAGAGAACAGGAGGTGGTCTCATGGTAGCAAGCGACATTATAGATACGTCAAACCACACGAACGCAAGCACATTAGCAGAACGTCATCATCACGATCCTCTAAGCAACTCTCGTAGTACTGCACATGAAAGAGCAAATGCTCAGGTTTGCCTGCATTTTTTCTCATCAGAAGCTGCTCTCATTCGGAATTCTCTACTAGTCATAGTGACCACAATCCCACCAGTGGATAGCTTTAAGAGGAGACCTGACACACACACATACTCGCTCATGAATTACCAACTTCCTTTTAGAGCGGGTGTATCTAGTGCATGTCTCAAAAACTACCATGGTTTTTATCGCCACATATCAGTAACTAATTCCTATCTCTCATATCATTATCTCCGTTTCCCCTCTTATTCTTCCCATTCCGCCTTCTTACGAATCACAAGCTGATTAAATTATTTGTTACTTTCTTAGTACTTAGATCACCACTTTATTGTTTTCAAACTGCCTGGTAATGTGATAGCTCTTAGTATCCAGAAACCTCATTGCTCTGGTATTTATCAATCTTCACGAATCCGTATGGTGCTCAATAAGATTGCCTACAACCTTTATGTGTCTGGCCGGAGTCATCTACAGGAAGCCCACTGCAGTACGACAATCGTATGCTGGAAAAATTATCCCGCCCTACCCGTCTGGGATTCACTCATATACTGATTCTTGAGGACTTCAATCTTCCTGGGTCAATTTGGCGGAACATACGTATATTGGAGATGAAAACTCTACCTAAGCTCGGTTCTCCAAACTCATTTAGGATCTGGAATTATTCGAAAATATGAAGTCGGCAACTCGTTGCAGCAAGTCAGACGCCGTCACTCTTATGATGGGTATTTACGAAGAATTCCTGACCGACAACGTCTCAGTCATGGCTTCCCAGAGAAAAGCGATCGCACCGTCACATCCTTTAGTTTTATCAGCAGAACTGAGCTAATACATCTTACCGAAAACAGGCGCTGGAATTTGAAATGGTTGGATGTGTCAGCTTTGCAGGACAATCTACAGCAGATGGACTGGAATGTTCACTCAGGGGTAACTCTCCTCTGGAGGTATCTCAAGTTGAAAAATATTTAGGTGTTGGTACCCTACGATTTTAATTCTTACGCTGACTGCGACAAAAATGCCTTCCAAGCAGACCTTGCACTGGTAACATCAAAGCGCATTTTCGGCCAGTTCTACGGAAGACGTTTCCACATAATCCTCAACAGTTCTATCCCCCCCACTTACAGTGCGGAAACATAGTACTTCCCCCCTCAATCCAAAAGAATAAGGACACTTTGGAATCAGTACAGGGACTCAAATTCAAGACTTATGAAGAGCGCCTAATCACTGAACCTTTACTCATTAGAGTACAGGAGTCTTAGAGGTAACCCAGTGGCTTACAGCATCCTAAATACTTCTGGACATCCCCTTGAACATCTACTGAAGCTTAGTCCCAACACAAACCTTAAAGCTAACACCCATCGATAATATAGCTAGGTTTCTTCCTGGAGATATTGGTGATCCACCGCTACTAGATACGAAAGTCCGTTAGGTGAAAGCTTCTTCTATCCCGTCCAAAACTATACGAACCATTTTAAAATATACAAATCCACAAACCGACTAGAATAAGTTTAGTCAAGCGGCTAGACTACCAACTTCTGCACATTATGAAAAACTTGAAACAGTGCCGATATAACAAAAAGTGGGCGTAAAGAAATCAATTGATTCATCCAACCTCGTTAAAAGATATTTGATTACGGATACTTATTGATACAACCATTTGAACTATTTGACTGGTACGTTACATTTAGTTTTTGGCAAGTAGAAGTCTTAATATAGACAGAACTCACTTGATTTCACTACATAAAGTAAGGTAAGGACTAATTCACTTTTTGTCTTTAGATAAGTGTTATCTTTTATATTGAAATAAGCTGTTTAAGAAGTATTTTGGTAACTTAGCCGATGTTTTATTAGTCTTTATGTCAAATCTCTACATGAAAAACATATGAAAGAAAATAATTGTAGCCTAAAGTACGTACAAACTCATCAAAATACATATTAAGCAAAATAAAACAGCACAGTTGTCGGAAAATGTGGCAATTTTTATAATGACAATAAAATACCATATTTTAAAATTTGGGTTTTTTTTCCTGAAATTTCCCTAGACTCCGGGGACAACTAAGAATTTTCACATGGCTTTGAGAAAAACCTAAAAACCCCTTGAATTTCCTCGAAATCCGGAGATTGGGTTCTTTAATCTTTGTAACATTGTGAACATAACCATATTTGTATTAAATATGTTTTATATGGACGTTTCATTATTTGAGATGTATTGTTAGTAAGCGGCCATTAAACGTACTGCCGCGTCAGGCAAAAAGCCGGTCGTTACTCCTTTTGGTTTTTTTGAACGTATAAGAGTTCCATTTAGCTGCAGAAATGCTCGTTAAGTAAACAATTAGAGGTTTTTTATTCTGTTGTCAATGTTCATGTTTTAATTACCAGCAGTTCATCAAGCGAATATGTCAATCATGAACATAAGTTATCCACTTTCAACAATTTGACATAATCATCCAGCTTCCCAACTGTATCCTAGGCGGGGAAAATTTAAAATTCCTGGCCCACAATATTAGGACATACATTATTTAATCACAGGGTGACTAATTTGAAGCTACCAAGAATTTTAATGAGCCAAATTCAGTGAGTGCATTTCGTCATTTCTTGGGAACGGTTACTTTTTATTGCGACCTATGTTGAACATTTTGAAGGGACATGTTAAACACTTCATGTTATCCTCAAGAGCTTATCCTTGCCGATGTTAGAAATAAACCGTCGCAAAAGACCTAAATTCGGCACCAGACAAGAAGCATTTGTCATTTTTTGAATACGAAAACCTAGTAGCTGTGCAGTCAGCGGTAAAATTTTTGGTCCTGGTGCATTATTCAACATATCCAATATCGTTTAAATGTGTTATGCTACTCGGTGTTTCTTCCAAAATCTTATCTGCCCTGCTGGCAAAATTATGTAAGTCCAAAAGCTTGTTAGATTAACAGAGTCTGCTGAGCTTAGGTTGGTAGTCTCTGCATCCATATCTGTTTTGAAAACCCATCAACGTTGTCGGGATCAGTCAATTACTTCACTTGATGTAATAACCCGTCCTCTATCCCGTTTATTTATTTATTTATTTATTTGAACACATAAATATTGGTACAGGGGGGGCACCAAATATATATGCGCCACACAAAACAATGATAATTTGAAGAGAAGGAGAAAAGAGAAGAAAAAAAAAAGTAATGAACGTGGGGAATTATAAAAAAAAAGAGAGAGAGAACAATGGTGGGCGAAACGGTAAGGTACAATCAGAGGAGATCTTTCAGTTAAGGAAGATACAACCACTTTTTATGAAGAAAGTAAAAGAAGGTTACAGCAGGATCGCCACTGGTTTCTATTCTGAGCCATATCTGATAACGTCTCTAGTCACTGCGTTACACCATCTCTCGGACCCCAACCAGGGAGTCGTGAACGACCAACAGAAGCTAGCCCTTTGCAGCTTTCTTTCATACCACGACACCATGTCATATACTGACCACCTCTCCGCTTTTTCCAACCAGTCCCAGAGTCGGCAAATAATGTACGACGAGGAATTCTCTGGGACGACATTCGTAGAACATGTCCAAGCCACCGAAGTCGGTGTTTCAAGATGGTGACACCAATTTCATTATCGTCTCTGTGACCGAACACTCGATGCCGAACCTCTGCATTACTGACATGGTGTTGCCACTGGATGCCAGCAATCCTTCGGAGGCAACGATGATCGAACACAGAGAGTCGTCTAACATCCTCAACTCGGAGAGGCCAGGTTTCACAAGCATAGAGCAAAACTGCTCTCACCGTCGCGTTGTAGATCCGACCTTTTACAGCCAGACTAACATCACGAAGGCGCCAAAGATGGCCCAGATTGGCATAAGCCGCTCTGGCTTTCACTATACGTGCATTGATCTCATCACTCACGCCACCACCAGCACTTATGCAGCTACCTAGATACACGAACTTCTCGACTACTTCTATCTGCTCACCATCCAGAGTGAGTACAGGATTAGAATCCTGCCAGTCTTGTAGAAGTACTTTGCACTTCGAAGGTGCAAAGCACATACCATACCTACGGACACTGATTGCCAACTGATTAAGTGCGGATTGCATGGCTTGGGCATTCTCGCACAGTAAGACAATATCATCCGCATACTCAAGGTCGAGAAGTCTTTCTCCAGGCAACAGATCCACACCACCATTACTTACATCCGTCAGAGCTGTTTCCAGAATGTCATCGATGGCAAAGTTGAAGAGGAATGGTGAGATTGGGCAACCCTGCCTAACTCCACTGCTTGAATGGAATAGTGGAGAAAGGTGGTTGTATGCCCTCACTCTACCTGAGGTGTTTGTATATAAGGCTTTTAGGATGTTAATAAACTTCTCAGGCACACCCCTCTTCAATAGACAATCCCAGAGAACAGTTCTGTCCAACGAATCGAAAGCAGCCTTGATATCAAGAAACACTACGATTGTTGGCCTTTGATAAGTATGGCGGTGTTCTAACACTTGGCGGAGGGTGAAGATATGATCAATACATCCTCGACCAGAACGAAACCCAGCCTGCTCCTCGCGAGTCAATCCTTCTCGGGTTCTGAACAACCTACGAAGTATGACGGAAGCCAATAGCTTGGACGCAATCGGAAGTAGACTTATCCCCCGATAGTTGTTACAGGAACAACGTGAACCCTTTTTAAAGATAGGGACAACTATCGACTCATTCCATGACGTTGGTACACTCTCTAGTTCCCAGATCTTTGTAAACAACGTCGTCAGTCCTTTAGTCAGAAAGTCACCACCATCTTTAAAAAGAGCCGGGGGTAAGTCGTCTGGGCCTGGTGATTTGTAACGTTTCAAGAGTTGGAGTTCCTTGCGGACTTCCGCCTCATTTGGTGGATCAGTCGTCACCGGCCAAGGAGGGCAGGACAGTCTGACCGATGTTGCCGGAGCAGCAGGCCAGTTGAACTGCCCTTCAAAGAATTCTGCCCATCGTCCAAGACGTCGATGGATGTTAGTGATTGGCGTTCCGTCATCCTCGCAGATTGTTTCGCTCACACCAGACTTCTTGCTGCCGGTGGCTCGGATGAGTTGGAAGAGCTTCCGGTAATTACCAGATGCAGCTGCTGCTTCCAACTCACTGGCACGCTCCGACCACCAGGTTTCTCGGTCCTTACGCAAGCTTTGCCCGATTTCATTACGTAACAACCTTCGTCTGTGGTCAAACTCACGGTCACCCGGAGTAGACCGACGGGCTTCAATCAATTGTAAGGAACCAGAAGAAACCCAGTGCTTGTAAGCGGGACGTTTCGCAATCCCACAGCTGACTTGACCCGCCATTTTCATGGCGTCATGCAATTGCAACCAATGCTCATCTATACTTTTCGGTGGAATAGTGGCTAGCCTAGAAGCTAGCTCGGCTCGGTACTTACTAGCAACAGAAGTTGCAGCCAGCTTGCTAACATCAATCCTGTGGTGGCGGTCACTTCGTTGTCCACTGAAAAGTAAGGTAAGATTGGCGCAGACCAGAGCATGATCAGATTCCAGATAGGTACTCCAAAAGGAGCGGCAGTCTTGTACACAACCGCGCCAGCGGTAGCTGATCGCGATGTGATCAATCTGAGTCCAGGCTTGAGATGCAGAAGGGGGACGCCAGGTGGCACATCGGCGATGACTGTGCCGAAAGTTAGTGCTAGCCAGAAACAGGTTGTGGTCTGTGCATAGTTGCAGTAGACGTTCCCCGTTATCTGTCCTGCCACCAACGAGTCCCCATCGGCCACCTAAACGACTCTCTTCTGTGCCTAGACGCCCGACCTGAGCATTAAAGTCTCCAGCTAGTACTACAATATCTGTCGAACGCACTTTCTGGAGAAGAACAGATAACTGGTGGTAGAACTCATCCTTGATTGCATCCGGGCTGCAATCTGTCGGGGCATAGGCGGAGATGACGAAAAGACATCGTTTCTCACGCCGATTTCTTCTCACTCTGATGGTACTTTCTAATCTAACAGCACATAACCGACTGTTAATGGGGATCCAGTCGACTAGTGCTGCCTCAGCTCTTGCGCTTAGTGCGACACCAACGCCAGCAAGACCAGACGAAGATGCCACAGGGTCCCCGGATAAACGCACGTAAAACAAGCTTTTTGGAGCGACAGATGGAGAGCGAACTTGTAGTACTTCACCAGAGTCTTGAATACGGGTCTCGGATAGACAACACACATCAATATTAAGACTTTCCAAAGACATTGCCAGCCCTATCTGTTGTCCGACCTGCATAAGTGTGCGAACGTTAAAGGCAGCCAGTTTGAATGGTGCGCGTGGTTTCAGAAAGACTGCTTCAGTACTCTTATTCGATGGTAACATACAATTTTCAAACCAGGCAGTGACTCGAGAACGTTTAGATAAAGCTGAATTTTTACCATAGGCGAGCTGCTGTCTGAGTCGAAACGGATACAAAAAGTAGAAATAGGAGATAGTGAGTAAATGACGTAGTAAATAATAATAATAATAATAATAATAATAATAATAATAATAATAATAGTATCAGTCATTTCAATGTTAGTCAGAGAAGAACGAATATTTTCCGTAAGCGAATATTTCATCATGTTTTGGTGTGTGGGCTGAGATACTGCCCGGGTGCCCAAACCGAAGCAGGTGGTTTTCTTAGGGGGCCACACCCCGAGCCTTTGACCTAAAGGTCTAGTCCACAAGGCAGTGGAGCATCGTGAGGAGATGCAGTCCCATGGAAGCCGGTGACCAAAAGTTGGTTCATACGCCATTTGTTCCTTC